TCAACGGGTAATTAAAAAACCAAAATCGATTTTTTGATATTAATTCTTGCCGCGCAAACTATTTCAAGTTTCTAAATATTCAACTTCGCTCATAAATGATACGGATATATTAATCCACGAAAACCTACAGAGCTAAACCATGTCGCCTTACAACGTTCAGTTGCCGAATAGAAGATCACAAACAGAATAGAATCTAATTGAATTGAAGGCATTGGTCACAAATTGTCGATTTCCGTGTTCGTTGTAGAAGCCTTTCACACGTATTAAAAGCTGAATTTTACATGTTTAAGTATTAGAACCCTAAGTACATGCAAATATTCAATTATAAAAATATCTTTTTTAAATCATCAATAGAAGAAAAGCTAGATTCAAAAACATGAAAAAGTTTCCCGATTATATAGACCAAGTTTTACAGACAATCAAATTTGCATAATACTTTGGAGCCGCCACATCATTTCCCAGCTTTTTCCTCACGGCATGGTACAAGGGAACAATTAAGTCACCACTTTCAGCTACTAATTTGCATAATGAACTGTGAGATTCGCACAAAGCACAGAAAGTTCGAAATTGCTGTGGGAAAGGAAGATAAAAAGCACAAGGTATTTTTTATATTTGTATGCTTCCTAACCCTTGTTTAGCAGAATTCAGTTGGAGTTTTGAGCGGCCGGGTCTGGACTTGGGAAATAAACGCCAGCGAAAACAAGCTACTTTCACAGGTGTTAAGAAAGTGACAAAACGGGTGGTAATAGGTAAATTTTCAGGATCCCCCAAAACAAAATATATCAAAAGTAACGTGCATTTCTTACCCTTGAAGGATCACTTAATGTAGGGATAGCAACAATTTTTTGTTACGTTTGGTGGTCTTTGAGCAGCGAGCTTGTCAATTTAGGAAAATTTCCGTCCTTGAAACGCTCAAATTTAGGCGTTTTCCGGCTATGGTTGTTTTGAGCTCTAAAAAAAATATTTTGACGTATTTGCCAAAACTAAAGTTTTTGCATTTACTTATGACCCAAAATAGTTCACTGAGAAAAATTTGAGGGAAAACTTTTTTCCGACCAGAATATGCAGTGGACCGCTTTTAGAGAGACTGCCACTTAACTTATCTGCTCAGGGTTTCATGATCGAACTTAATTTTCGAGCACACATGCAAATGATGGAATAATTAAATTAAATTTATTATTTTATCTTCCTTTTGCATACTTAAATTTCTCACCGGAAATACTTTTGAAGATTGTTCTTCATGGATGACACAACAAGATTACTGATTCCTGCG